GCAGGAATATGCTCCAAGGAAGTTTATCTTTTTAAAACGAAGCAGTCACGCGTGTGGATGTGACTGCTGTCATTTTATTGAATTTAGCTGTCCATATGCGAACTTTGTTAGGTACTGAACTAATAGTCACGTTAGTTACTTTCTGCTAAAACCGATTTATTATCTACATCTGTGAAGATACCACTCTCAGGGGCCGGTCGCAGTTCTGAAAGCCAGTATTTCTCTGCCGGATAACTTGGATCCATTATACCTTTTTTTAAACCTCAGATGACAGAAATTAACCTAGTGCAGTCTGCCAGTTAAAGGCCAGAAGTCAGACTTCAGTTTACTGTCGTGTAGTGTCAAGATAGAGAGACAGTAGCCAGGTTTTTGGATCCCTTGTACTTGAAGTATTTCTATGTCTAAAACACTTATTCCTAAACTTATTTAGGAATAAGTGTTTTTTGTTTTTGTTTTTGTTTTTGTTTTTTAATGAAAAAATAACTTTCTTCATTTGCACTGATAACGTAAAAGAACAGATTTCTGAGACGTACTTTATACGTAAGAAGGAAAAAGATGGATTTGCATTGGCACATGTGTCCTTTTAACTTCATCCCCTTATCTTGTTTCAAGATCAACGCTCTCCTCGCTCCTAACACTGGGTGCTCTGTGTGGAAGGCTGTATGAAGATGGAACTTTTCAAGCTTGCTCTTAGAAACAGAACGTACTGTGCTATTACTTTAATATTCTTGTACTTTAAAATACACCTTGCTTCTAAATCGTACTCATAACTTTTCAACGGAAACTTTGAGGCTCTGTTTATTATCTGGCAAAAGCTAGAAGAGGCTTTAAAAATATCAGACCCTAAAGTACCTGGTCCCAACGTTTCAGCGAGAGAGCCACATTCCCAAGCCGAGAGAAACGGGCGTCTCGCCGCGCCCCGGGCCAGAGCTTTCTGTCCCCACGGTGTGCACACTTCTCTGCCGGAAACGTGACTCCGTGGCTACAGACGCCTTAGATGTTTCCCATTGGTGCCTGTGCGAATCACCGTCGTGTCTCAAAGTTAAGCATTATCGGTTTCCAGGACACTGGGAACTTATTTCTAATCGTAGTTATAAAAATGTATTTCAGAGTTAATTATTTTGGGGTACTGCATGCCTGCTAATCCCTTGGGTACTGTAGATAATTCAGAATTGACGGTTTTAAACTTCAAAGTAAGAGTTTTTTTTTATTTCCAGCATCATCTGGTAGTGAATTTCTTAACAGTTAAATAATGCGATTTGGGAAGAATCGATTCCTTTAGGAAAGAATCAGGCTAAGGTTTATAGCGAGATCAGGAATTTGCTTTTACTGTGATTAGACCTTGTTATTAGTACAAAGTGAGAGGTTGGATGAGTGGAGAAAAGGCACAGATAAAGGAGACCTTTGTCGCTTGTTCTCATTGCTGGGTCTGATGCTCAGCAGCTTCTTGGTGATCAGTTTGTCATGTTCAGTATATTTGGTATTTGGTGACACATTGGCCTGGGAGGGGGACCCGGAGAAGCAGTGTGTCAGCGCAGGTGCCCGGGACCAGGATATTACTCGAACACAATTCTGGATCGGAGTATGTCGTCTGTGGGATTTTCTCATTTGCTGGTTCCCTTTCTCCCTCTGCGCAGTAGCAAAGAGTCAATTGGGTGCAGCTGGGGACCGAGGTGCCATACACGGCAAGGGTAGTGGTCAGACGCGCCGTGAGAAAAGTGGGTTTGAATGAGTTCGGGAAAAGAAAATCGTCAGTGTACAAATAGGATATATCTGGACATGATGCTGTTCATTTTAAAGCTGATATAAATCCTTAATGATTCTGACTGCTGAGGAAGTCAGTTCCTAAAAATGAGGAGAAACAGTGTTTAAACGTATGGTTCCAAAGAGGGTGGTTTGGGGTCTTCCCAGTGCTCCCCTCTGGTGACACGGTGATGGCAGAGTTGGACTGTGGTGTTCCCACACCCTGCCTTGTCTTCCTGGCTCAGTATCCTGGCAGCGCTCCAGGTCCCTGCTGTCAGAGAACCCGACAGAAACCCACTCTGTGTGTCTCACGTGACACGCTGAGTGCTAACCACAGGCTCCCTGAGCCGAACCCCTAAAAGCATGGGTTTTCTTAAAGTCCCGTGACAGACTAAGCCAGAATGATTTACTACCTTTGTCCTTTGACAGAGTATCATATCAAAGTGTGCTGCACTTTCAAAAATGCCTAATACTCTTTCACACGACAATATTTATAACACAGCTTGATAAGAAGCGGGAATGGGACATGATGTGCAGAGTAAAGCCAGATGTCGTCCAGGACAAAGAAGCGGAGAGAAATCTTCAGCGAATTGCCACGAGGTAAGATGGCGTTTCTGCCCTTTCAAAACTGAGTATCCTAAAGCTTTGCTGGTGATGCCCTTCTGGCCAGGCTTGATCCCTGCCCCGCCCTCCTCGGGGCCTGTTGCGTGCTGAGTCCAGCCTAACTTGCCAGTGCCACGAGGCAACAATATAATGTGCTGAGTCTGTATTCAGTACGGACCTATTTCAGATAGTCTTGTCTCTCTTGTCACAAGAAAGCGTGATCAGTTCGCTTACTGCGTTTCCATTAGATGATTGTCTTCATTTACGGCCTTTGAGGACCGTTTTCGCTGTTGTGCAGTTTACGTTTATGACGTCACAGGTAACACGACAGCAGCTTCAGGCTGTCCTTTCACTCTGCATTTGTTTTTTTGTTTTTTTTTTTCTATCACTGGCGCCAGACCTTTATTTGATATTTTCTGCGTCCAGATAAATGGAATCTGGGGGCTGCTGGGTAGTCCTTCCCACCCCCCTGGAGGAATCGAAGTCTCTGAGAGGAGAGGTACTTCCTGTGTGTTGGGGACATCCACCGGGAGGTCGCCGAGGGGAGTCGGAGAAGGTGCCCAGAGCAGACAGCCCTGGTTCCCTGCTTAAAGAATCTAGCAGTTACATTGAGTGGAGCTACTTGTAACTTCCTCGTCGCCTCCGTGATTTCAGTTATTTTCCGTCCATTTGGGTGTCGTGTGGTGAGACAGGGAGGCGTGATGGGTGATGGGTAAGAGTGTGAGCGCCGGAGCCTGGCTGCTGCGTTCAGGTTCCAGCCCTGACTCCTGACGTGTGTCCTTGGGCGTGCTGCTTGCTTTCGCTCTGTCGCAGCGCATTAATCTGTAAAACCAGGAGAATATTATACCTCCCTGTAGGGTTTCTTTGAAAATCAAATGAATTAATACATATAGAGGATTTAGAAAAGTGTAGGGCCGGTGCATGAAAGTAAAAGCACCTCTTAAATTTTACACCCTAGGCCCCTCACTCTCCCCGCCTTGGTCCCAGCCCTGCTGTGCAGGGCATGGAACTTTATCCTGTCTGTGACCTAGTACACCAGCCTGGTAACATTTCTCGAATGCTAGCAGAAGAAAAGAGACTTCTGGGTCACAGACAAAGGACTTCATTACTCCCGGCAAAAGCAGCAGCTAGCGCTTCACATTCCCACTGGTTTCCTTTGTCGCTCAGGGCAGCGCAGGTGCCCTAGGCGGACGCCTGCCCCTGGCGTGGGTCGTGTTACCAGCGAGGAACGCGGTGCTTGGGATGCCGAGGCTTTTATGGTGAGCGGTAACAAGCCCACTCTTTGTCTGGGAGGAGCCGTTAGCTCCTTCCCGAAGGTCACTGCGAGCACAGCCCTGCGGGATGCCCCAGGAGAGAGCAGTCAGGGCCTTGAAGTCCTGAAGAACCTAGCAAGGATGTGCAGGATATTCGGGGCCGTGGCGGATGGCCTCTCCCCGTGGTCACTATGGCAGGGAAATTAATAGATTACAGAATGTTAGAGCCGGAAGGGATCTTGATGGTGTAAATCAGTGCTTTCCAGTAGAAATACATGCGCCACATAAGTAATCTAAATTTTTTTGTAGCCACACTGAGGAAAGTAAAAAGAAGAGAAATAAGTTTCAATAATATATTTCATTTAACCCAGTATTTTTAAATGATTATTTCAACATGTGGTAAACATAAACGATTTATTAGTGAGAGTCTAAAATTCTCTTTTTTGTACTCAGTCTTCAGAATTCAGTGTGTGTTTTCAACTTGGAGCACAGTGCAGTTAGGACTAGTCATATTTCACGTGCTCACTGGCCACGTGGCTCGTGGCTCCTGTGATGGGCACCGCAGGTCTCAATCTTCAGACTCCATCTTTGAACGAGCTTAACTACAAAACAAAGTAACTACAAAGTAAATATTTTTTAAATAGGATTTTAAAATCGGTTTTATAGCATAGGAGTTGCTGATAATATAGCTGAATGCTTTTTAAGATACTGGGGTATTATTTTTCCCATTTACAGATGAAATCGAAATCCTGAAAATCTTTGCTAGAGTCAGATGGTCAGGTAGCTAACTATAAAGGGTGTGCTTTTTCCATTATGCTGAGTACTTTCAACCAGCATGTAATCCTATTTTGAGAAATAGATGTTTGTGTTAAAAATAATTCTTAGTTCTAATTGCACAGACGTTGATTTAGGAAGAGCAAAGCTGAGAAAAAAATCACGTATCTATCACATATATTCTCTATTCAGAAATTCATATTCATTCATTGAAATGTACTTTTATTTTCCAGAAGTATCTGTCTATTCATTCAACGCTTCATTGAGTGCCTACAAAACGCTTGCCTCTTTCTTAAGCAGGAAAAACACATTGTTCTGGTCCCAGAGTTTGTATTCCGGTGCGACCGTCGGCTGAGTACGTTGTTCTGGTCGTTTGTCATCTGTAGGGGTGTCGTGCAGTTGTTCAACGCCGTTCAGAAGCATCAGAAGAACGTGGATGAAAAGGTCAAGGAAGCGGGAAGCTCCGTCAGAAAGCGCGCCAAGCTGATGTCCGCTGTTTCCAAGAAGGATTTCATCAGCGTCCTGAGGGGGCTGGACGGGGGCACGAACCAGAAGGGGTCCGCCAGGAGGACCGCGGAAGCCAGGCAGGTAAGGCTTCTCCCAGGACTCAGCGCATCGGGCCGTTCGCTCTTACACCAGAGGGTTTTGAGGCAGAAAAGCACACTTATAAGTTACAGCATTTTCAGATTTTATTAACGTTTCTGCATGGTCACAGCCTGGAGTCTTAGGTTTCGTGCCAATGCATTCGGTGTGGAGGTGCCCGTGATGGGTGTCGCACCCCTGCGCTTGGGACTCCGGAAAAAGTAGATCCAGGGACATGTTTAGAGGGAGGGCCACGTCTCTCATCTGCAGCCAGCCCTCCATGGGGTCTGGGGACGGGGAAGCTGAGGGCGGGCGCGGCTTCAGTGCGAGACTTGCCCGCAGCGGCCGTCGCGGTGGTGTGTGGCTTCTGAAACACCAAGACCCGGAGCTTTGGGGAGTAAGGACAGTCGTCCTCATGCCGAGGCGGCTGGTGCCGTTCAGGTCGGAGCAGACGACCTCCGTCCTTTTCATGACCTCTGGCGTGATGACTGCTTCCCCGGCCTTTCTGACCCGTGTGACCACAGAGGCCGAGGACGGGGTGACATGGCCGAAGGTCAGAGAATGCTGACAGTGCCAGAAGCCGGGGGGTCAGAGAGCAGAGTGTCCCTGGAGCCCTCGGAGGGGGAGATGAACCGTGGGAGAGAGAATGACTCGCTCGGGCCACCCAGCTTGTGGCGCTGCCCTCCGGCGGCCCCGGAAGCTGCTTCCTGCAGGCGTCTGGTCTGCGTGCGGGGTTCTCCCTCGGGAGCTGCGAGTGCGGCTCCCTTGCTTGGAGCCTTTCTTTCTCTTGCAAACGAGGAGTTCAGCGCTTTCCGTTGGCTGCTTTCCGCTTTGGAGGCTCTGAGCCTGGTCCCCGCGGGCCCGGCGTTCCCGGTGGGCTGTCCGGGCGGCTCCGCCCCGTTCCTGGGCCGGACACGCGGCGGGCTGCACCTGTCAGTCCAGCACGAGGTGCGCGTCCTCGCGTCCAGCAGGTCGTTGTGTGTGTAACATCTTCATTATTTTTGTCTCTCTTTTCTTGTTTCCTCTCAGGAATTTCTCTTAATTGGTTGTTCGGTATTCTGGATTGATCCTCTGATTTTCATAACTTTTTCCCTCTCACTTTCTGCCTCTCTGGTGACTTTCTGGGGAGGTTCTTTGATTTCCAGCTCTTAGGTCGAATTGAAAGAAAAATATGATTTCATATTTTTTAATTTCGAAGAATTCTTTTTGGGTTTTTTTGTTCCTCTTGATGCTATTTTTATTTGTTTAAGGCAGTATCTGTTCTCCTCGAGGAATTACCGGCGTTTTACCTTGCTCTGCGTTGTTTCGGTGTCTTCCAGCTCCTTGCGTTCGTCTTGGCCCATCTCGCAGGTTGGAGGCTTCCTCCACGCCCGATGCTCTCTGACCGTTCACCTCTGAGGGCGACGTCCTAGAGAGCTGACCGAACAGTCCAGTGCGAGCCAGCGTTTTCTGGTTGGCGAGCTCAGCTGTAGAATAATTTGAGTAGAGTTGGTTTGTTTATCGATGATGCCCAAATGTCTGTTTCCGTCGTCTTTCTTCTGGAAGAGTCCCGCAGTCTGCGGCCTGCGTGTGGGGTGAGAACTTGCTGCCGGCGTTCTTGGAGCAGCATGACAACAGCCTCCGGCCACCAGTGGTCAGTGTGCGGACGACTCCACACAAGCTCTCCGTGCTGCCCCGGCTTCCAGCTCCCAGGCCCTCTCTGCGTCAGTGTCCTCGGAGGCCGATTGACCTGCCGGTGGTAGCGTCAGTCACCTGCCTCCAGCAGCCGGGGCGGGGGACCTGGACGCCGCCTGCTTCTCACGCAGTCGGCCCGTCACTCCTCCCCCACCGGCTCATTTCTTCATCGCCGTCTGTGATTCCTAAGTGTCTTAAGGGCGACGGGCATCTGTGGGCCACACGTCTGCATGTGATCTGTTCCGTGTTATAGTTTTGTATTTGCTGTTTTTGTGAGCTGCAGATTCAGTCGTGAGAAGTCCGCTTGTTCCTTTTAAAACCATGATCTTCAAGCTTCAAGGCTTTTGGTACCTGGGTTGGAATATTTCTTCTTTATGTTTCAAAGATTGCCTTCATGTTATTAGCTGTTAATCAAAATATTTTTAATCCTCTGATCCTGCTGACATGGATAGTATTGTTGCCCTTATAATTATTTTAATCTTTTTTTTTTTAAATCAGTTTTATTGTGTGCAGTCATCATTTCTGCACTGGGGACTCACTCATGTTAGAAAGCCTTAGAGACAAAGAGGGTGTGATTGTTTTTTTAAGATCATTAAAAAAAAGAGATTTTGAAAAGACTTAAGTATTTTAAAAGATGTCAAACCAGTATATTACATTTGAGTCACTAATTAGTTTCTTCGTGTCAAATAAATCTTGTTAAATCAATGTTAGGGACTTTATTTTTATTTTTTTTATTTTATTTATATTTTTGTGAGATAGGGTCATGGAAAGGAACACTGTTAGTAGAAGTGAAAAGCCAAAAAAAATAATAATTCTTACCACAAAAATAGAAGTTTCGAGTGAAGTATTGAATGTCAAATTCATTGTGGGGTCAGTTCTTTGGAGTGAATCAGTCCACCCAATATTTCATACGGAAAGAAGAAGAGAAACCATTTTCCAAATGGTTTGAGTAAGTGTTCCAGGTTGCTGCTCATGAAATTAGAAAGTCTTACAGTTGAAAAAATTATAATGTGAAGATGGTCTTAGAAAATGAGACTCGAGAAATGTGCTTCAGAAAAATATAAGAAACGTTGCTTTGCTTTTAAAATGTCATAAAGCAAACACAGTGAAGGCACTAGTTCATCCGCTGGGCTAACGTAGTCTGTAGGTAAAGGTGCTTTGCGTGTCTGAAGAAGCATTTCTCACTGAGTGATGTGAATTCAGATAATGACGGGAGAGGAAGCACCAGTGAGTGATGTTTCTCCTGAAAGTCTGCCTTCAAGCTAAAGTGTCTCGTAAAGCAAGTCATAAATTAGAACAAGTATTCAGTGCTGTTGAAACTAACCTAGATCGAAACAGTCTTTGAAAACATTTAAAAGAAATGAGCCTCAGGGAACGAAGCTGTAATGAGTAGACATTTTCACTAGAATTATTCAAGGAAAAGGGTCCGGCACATTTCGTTTCTACTTCTTCAGAGGGCATGCTCAGGCGCTCGAAGGGAAGATCTGCCACTCATTGTTCCACTGTTGGGGAAAAGCCCGTTCTCTGATTTTGCACGTTCTTTGTAATTGTTTTCCTCTTCCATGGAGGTTGGAATATTAGGGCGTTTACTGATGGGTGGGGAGCTGGAGGAGCGGATTCTGAAGAAGTAGGTGTGGATCAGATTTAAGTCTCGATCATATCTTCCGGTAAAGAATTTGGACTTTATTCTAAGGCATTTGGGGGGCAGTTGTCATTTTTCATCAGGTGAATGATCTGATCAGCTGTTGTTATTTTTAGAGAGAAGGCTGAAGGGTGGAAGGACTGTGTCAGGAGGCCACCTAGCGGGAGGCTTTTGCCATAGCAGAGCAAGAGGAAGACTGAACGGAGGCTGCCGGGGTGGGAGGGTGGGGAGGCTAGAAAAGAGGAACCCCATTTGGGAGGCAGCCCAGCGGTCCACATTCAGAAGGAAAAGGGGGACGGAGGAATTAGGGATGACTGAGGTTTACAGCTTGGGAGATTCAGAAATGGGGACAGTTTTTACAAAATCGAGACTGAAAGATGGAACGTGCGAGAGGCCCAGACTTGGGGAGGCCGTGTCCTCACCAGCAGTGAGAAGGAGGTGACATGGAGACAGGCCACATGCAGTGTGGGGAGAGGCACGTGGCTGGTGCAGGAAGCGTGACCCCGGAGGGGCAGGCTGCCAGAACAGATGCAGTGTATGCCGAGGTCACCTGTCGCCTGAGCTGCTGAGTCCCAGGTGTCTCTGTGGGGTCCCCAAAACCGTGGGAACAATTAACCTGTTTTCCCAACAGGGAAGGTGGATCGGGTATTGTAGAGTTTTTCACATGATTAAATTGAAGCGTTTCTAGTTTTGCAGCGTTAATCGTCGTGTATCTGGAGGGCATCTCTGACACGGAGCCCGTGAACCCCTTCCGTGAACCCCTTCTGTGAACCGAGTGAGCAGGCTCGCTGGCTCTCCGCGGTGTTGACGCTGGGTGGCTCTTCAAAAGACCGAATTATATGTAATACGCTGTGTTTAAGGAAGCAGCAAAAACGTACATTTTACAAAATGTAAGTCCCCACGGGAATGGCTTCTTCCTTCAGAAAAGCCACCTGTCTAGCACGGTGTATTTTCCTAATATCGCAGATAATCGGATTTTAATAACGAAGAGCCATTAATTTTTTCCTTACCTTTCAAAGTTGTGATCATTGCTTTTGCTCTTTTCTTGAAGAGCTGACTAAAATCCAGTCACAATTTCTTGGAATTTGTGTCTTTAAGGAAATAAGTGTCTTATTTCCTTAAAGGTGGGTTATTTGTGATACATTTTAAATCGGTGCGTCTCAGAGGAGGACAGGCATTAGCTGCTGATAGATCACTGACTATGTTACTTTGGAGTTGCAGACTTTCTGCAAGGTTTTCATTCATTTGAAATTGCCAATGTATCAGTTTTGGCTTCTGTTTGGTTACAATGAAACCACAATAATCATTCAGTAGTAGAAAAGGATGCCAGCCAGTTTCCGTTAAAGATTTCTTTCTTGACTGCAGGGCAACAAATTTCATTAAAAATCCCAAGGAAAAAAAGTTACTGGAAGAGAGTAGGGTTTTTTGGTTGGTGTTTTTTTTTCTTTCTGATTTTGTGATTTGAGCACTTTAAATGTCATTAAATGTCAAACAGAGAGAGAAGTTTAGGGGGCTCTATTCTCATACATGTCTCATAGATGGCAACCCTGTAATGTCTTCGTAGCGAGGTAGTCAGAGGTGGGGATGCTTGCGAGACACCCGGCTCCTTTGGTATCAGTAACTTAGGCCCAGGCTCCGAATTTGCTGTGTGTTTAGGATCTACTGAATTCCTGCTTCCAGTGGAAGAAGCCTAGGAGCAGGGGGCTCCTCACTCAGGTCCCCACATGGTTCCCCAGCAGCCTCCAGGACAGGTTTTCGATGGAGCTGGGGATGCAGAAGCCAGGCAAGGGGCTAGAGAAAGACACTGCCCTTAAGTGGCCCCCGCACCCCATGTGGCGGCAGCGTTTTAACTTTCACAGGAAAGCGGCTCCACCGGGAATGTGTGGAATCCTAACTTTGTAAATAATTCAGCTCAATGTTTGTTTACTGCAAATGCCTAAATAGATGAGTTTAGACAGAAGTGAGACTCCCAAGTCTGGAAGAGGCGCGGCTGTGCACATCGCCGCCGCTGGGAGCCGTTGGAAGCCAGTTTCCTGTGTTCACTTCTTCCAAAACGCGCTTTTGGTTCTCACCGGAGGCTGGTTTCCGGTGTGAGCAGCAGTCAGAGCCCCGTGAGCCTAAGTTGGCAGCGGTGGGACATGGGTAAGAGCAGAGTGAGCACTGGCTACAGAGCTGCTGTGGACATCCTTAGTGACTGTGAAGATAAAAATCAGTGACGGTGCCACATGCCTTCTGGCCCTATGTGAAGAGCTGTTCTCTCTGCCTGAACTGGCTGCTATGGAGGCTTTTCATCAGCGAGGTTGAGGCCCCTTTTTTAAAAACAATTTAATTGTCCTGCACAAACGCGGTACCTCTTACGGTGCATTCGTAAAATTCAGAAGAGCACTTTATTGTTTCTTGATAAAAAACGTTATATTTGAGTGGTAGGCGGTTGAGAACGTTGGCGGGTTGCGTGCTGTATCACACGTAGGGGCCCAGGCCTCAGACTCTGGAAGCACACGCCCTCCGGGCCCAGAGCCCCGGCCGCCACCCACCACGTCGCGCCTCGGGTGCTCATCCGTTTTAGGGTGACCACTCTAGTGGTGGCTGCCGCGTCGCAGGGACTGTGGCAGCCACGTGGTAGCACATGGCAGATTCTCAGGACAGCAGTCAACAAGCAGCAAGTGTTGTATGAATGCGACAGTTTTTATTTCGTGTTGTGGGTCAGAACGCGTTCCTTACATTTAGCTCTCATTTTTCCTAACAGGTTATAGTCAAAAATGAATCTGTAGTTGGAAACCAGTTTGAAAGGGAACTTACTGCTTCTGAATTACAGAATGACCCCAAATTACCCAATAATTTAATAAAAATTGTGTTTAGATTTGGAAAGTTCTCATTTTAAGGGTATCTGGTCTGATAGCGCACAATTCTTACAAAATAAACTAGATTTTGAGGACCTAGAAAATGTTCACATTCTCTTTGTGTTCATTTCAAGCTGCGGTTCACTAGTACCTCAGTAAGATGTTGCTTACTGAGGAAAGTTTGGTTTCTGAACAGGTGCTGTCGTCTTATTTGAATGTTCTCATCTCTGAATACAGTACAGAACATCGCTGAGGGCTCCAGGTGTCCCAGGTCGGGGATTCCGTGGGGACAGGACAGCTCAGGGCGGCAGTAGGTAGGGATGGCGGTCGGGGGCCTGGAAGGGGGCTCACTGTTCGCTTTGCGCCAGGCACTGTGGGATTCTATTTTTACATAATGACCGTTTTAAGAAAGACTAGAACTCCCATTTCAGAGGTGAGAAACCCAAAGTCAGAAAGATTGAGTGACTCACCCCATGTCACATCGATAGTAGTTGGTAGAATGCGGATTCAAACCCAGTCTACACTGCTCCAAAACCCTGTTTCAGCATCAGTGCCTGCTGCTTACAGCATCTGAGGTACCTTACGAGAATCAAAACAAAACCGTCCCTTCCTTCACTTACATGAGCTAGAAGAGCTGGGGCTGGCGAATGAGCCATGCGTCACCTACCCAGGTGAGGAGGAGGATGGTGAGCGAGGCAGCTTGCGTCTGTTTTCCTAGGTCTCGTCTGCCCTTCATCGGATGTGGGGCCGCACGTGGAAACTGACCATTTTCAACTTTTATTTCTCCAAACTGTTAAGGAAGTAAAAGAAAATATTACCCTGGTAAAACATTTCGGAATTGTGAAACATTTAGAAAATTCGCTGTTATAATTGACTTTCTGTTCAGTTAACAAGGAATTAAAATTCACTGGATAGCAAATGCATCTTGTATTTAATCAAGGCTTGTCTAATAGAAATTTTAGAGTTCTTTTTGTTTTTTAGCTGCTATATGAAAATTTTCAAACAGGAAGAAAGTAAGAAAGACCAATATTTCTGGTCTTACACAGACCTGTATTTCTCGCCTTGGTTCTCAAAGCAGCCCACGTCCAGTGTGTTTGTGTCACGTGGTCACCTGCCCGTCTTTCTCTCCCTCTAGTGTCTGTCTGCTGTCTGTCTGTGTGGGGTGGTTATTTGGAGGTGGTAGCCACGCTGTCCCAGAAATTCTTTTCTTTTTTTTTGAACAGCTTTG